AATGCTACAACGAGCACAACCTTACCATCAAGACACAAGACCAACCAACAACAAAAAGCAAAAACAAACAAACACCTAAATGGGCCTGCAACATCACCAATGACTGAAACTATCCACAACACAGGCCCAAAAAAGATGAACACCGTGAGGCACAAGCAGAGGCTTCAGGGCAGAGAAACAGAAAACGACGAAGTCGCCCCCCAATCCAAGATGCGTGCCCAAACCGTCACCGGGAGACAAAATACACAACTGATAATGGCATAAAGACCGGATGAACAACTGGGATTGGCACAAATCAGCATCAAAATCCGGAAAAACAGCCTTGTGCAAGAAGCACCCAAAAGGGACGGACGCACCCCCAACCTGTCCGAAGATATCCCTGATAAAAAGCTCTGGTTGGACGGCTTCAACGGAGTCCCTTCCCCCATCTGGAACGCCCCCCAACACAACGACCTCTTCAAGCAATCTGCCTCTGTGAACCCCACAACCACAAACAGAACAACCAAAACAGCCCCACAACAACGGACCGAAACTAAAAAACAAGAAAAAACAACCGGAACTGGAAGGAAAAAAGGAAGGGAGGGGGGAGCCGAAGCTCCCACCCCCCGACGAAAACACGGGGAAGGGCGGTAGAAAAGATAGGGTTTGGAGAATTCATTTTTAACTACCTTGGAAAATAAAAGGTAAACTTTTCTTAGATTCTATTGAATAAAATAAAAGGAGGATTACCAAATTCAACATGCCTTTAAAGCATATTCTGACAAAGTGTTTGAAGCCATAAAGATACTCTCAATAGTCAAAGCTTGCTTATAATAAGACTATAATGTGAATCATTCCATTTGATTGCACCTATATTGAATTGTAAGTGGAATAAAGAATTTTTAATTATGTAATGTCTAGACATGTCATACTTACCTTAACTTTGCAAAGTAAAAAATAGCCCCACTTTTGTTAACACGATCAATTGTGAACTTTTCAACCGGAATGCATCAATTGAGCAAACTATACCAAACTATACATGCTTCTATGTTTGTAAAGTTATGATTACGCCCAAAGAATAACGCGGTAGTTGTAGCACAACTTTGGGGTGTCGTATCCACAGGGAGATGGAAGAATATTTAAAGGATCAAAAAAGTTGAATTGTTCTCTCAAATGTGTAATAAAATTCAATGTTGAAACGTGAAATTAAAATTGATAATTCGAAGCGGTGAAGCGTATGAATTCTCTCAATTGGATTGGATCAATCATATCAATTATTCATTTTTATAACACAATTAGAGG